CGAAATCGATTTTTTGACTTGTGCCGATGTTTGGTCGACTATTACAGAAAGTCGCTCTTAAGCACTTGCATAATTCCTATTTTTGGGTTTAAAACAAAATAGTTTTGTCCTTATATAACAAAAGGTCTTTTTGATGTAAATTCATCATTGTTCCTTGAATCAATGACTGAAATATTTTACAATACACAGTTTTGGCTTTGGGAGCTGGATAATTCAGATTACCTTTGCTTTAGAACTTTGCATGGTAATAAATTAATTTCTCTTTGACATTATTTCCTATCTCATAGATGCTCAGGTGTTCATCAGCTAAATTGCAAAGAGTTTTCAGCAGATTTTTAAATTCTAGATCTAGTTGGCAAATAGTGGTTTGTCTGACGACCATTTGAGCAAATAATAAGATTCAAGTAATGCATCAGCTGATTGAAACCCAGCTACTAAGTATTTATCAATAAAACTTAAAAAATAAATCTTACAGAGCAATTACTTCATAGATTTGAGCTTGTTTGGTTACCTTCAAGATAATAATCTAAAATATTCTCAAAAACTATAATTGAACTAACTTTATCATCTGTGCTGTATATCAATAATTATAAACTTGACAGAGGTCTATCGTCAATGATCGTTGAATGATAAGCAGAATTAATGGACGATCTCTGTCTTTCAAGTTTATAATTTATATATATTTATCTTTTGAATCTGGCATACGAGCTTTTAAAAGCTTGAACTTAAGCTTTTGAAGACAAAGACACTTCAAAATTCAAGATTCAAGTTCCAAGATATTCTCATGTTCGCTTCAAACTAATAAATAAAATAATCACCCTGTATATAAAATATATTTTTGTTTAGAATAAGCTGGTAGGGGGTTAAAAATTAAGGAATATTCAAATCTAAGATAGTTGAAAATTAAGGCCGGCATTTTGGAATAACAACAATGATGACAGCAAATCACTCACCTACACGTAGCCTGGACTCTAGATTCTTGATTTATCACGATATTACCCTCATCTGGGAGTTATTTAGGATCAATATGATCGCAGGTATAAGTATTTTTGTCGTTTCTTTTTAATACTCGATTTTCAGTTAACTTGGTTTACTAAGTTTAGTACGAGTAACCGCTGACCTTCTAAGGCACGCAGTGCATTGCGGGAAATTGAGCTCACAGGGAGCCCACAAAAAGTAGTTTTTGACCCAGATTAGATTTGGAGCGATCCGTTACAATGTCGTAGTCGCCTCAGTTCAAAGAAAAACAACCTCATGGATTTTGTATCGATTTCCATCATGATTTATTTATCATTTCCTTGATGGAAACAATGGAAAAGAGGGGCACTTAGGCGTTTGCGGAAAAGCTGGTCTGCTGATCCTAATCATCTACGGTTCGCCCCATGTAAGGGAATCCGGACTTATGGTGGATTCCGGATTCCGAGACTCTGGATTACGGACTCCAAGGGTCTGGATTCCGGATTCCAAGACTTTTTTATTGCGGATTCCGGATTCCATATCGTTAATTTTCAGATCTTTTTCTGAAAGCTATATTTGATATACTTGCCGGCCAGTATAAGTAGAATCGTCTATCAATTAAATCAGTATCTGATGACAGATATTCTTGGTGGAGGTATTACACAGTGGGGGAGGGGCTACATTCGGTTCAGTCTAGGTCGAGGCGATAGCATTTGAGTGTATATTTTGAATTTCAAAGTAGCGGATTCCGGATGTTCCAAAAGGGTGGATTCCGGATTCCATTATAAACTGGATTCCTGATTCCAAGGCCTGGATTCCGGATTCCAGAGTGCTGGATTTCGGATTCCAAAGCCTAAAATTTCGTGGATTCTGGATTCCGGATTTCCTTACATGGGGCGATACGGTCTGTCGCCGACTAATCACAGGTAGCCCAAGCTTGGTTTCTGTGGTGTCATGTTATAAGGAAATGTATGGGGATTCTTCAAAATTTCAATGAAATCATTGAAACGTGAAACAAAGCCTCGAAATTTTACCTGATCATTGCGAAATAGCACTTCTTTCGCTTTGTGTGTGTGTTCGGCCCGTTTTAAGAAATTTTTTTTCTTATTTCTTACTGGTGGGGGAAAAATTCAAAAAATAACCACACAAAGCGAAAAAAGTGCTATTTTTCAAGTGATCAGGTAAAATTTCGAGGCTTTATTTCACGTTTCAATAATTTTATTGAAATTTTTGAAGAATCCCCATACTTTTCCTTATAATATGACACCACAGAAACCAAGCTTGGGCTACCTGTGGACTAACCTCTCCCTTAAAGTTCGGTCGAGATCAAATAGATCGAATTGGAATTTAGCATTTCATTTTTTCTCACATGTCAAATCAAGACTTCGATTTAGAGTCTTTTTGTCTTTTCCCCCAAATATAGTCACCTTTAATGTAACGTCAGTTGTCACTGTCTCACAGGTACCTGGCTTGGGCTTCCTGTTGTGCGGAAGTTCGGGTGCCACTCAAATATAATGAATTGTAGATATGTTTTTCGGTACTTAACCCATATTGCGTGGTAGTAGGTACGTTCACTCGCCTGGTCTTTTTTCCTCGCCTTCGAGGTAAGTCTATATTAACAAAGCTGATTTTTTAATATCTTTTGCCCGACTTACTGACTCAGGGCCTAACATATCGGGCCTAATATTGTCAGCAGCTGTGTTAGACACTTATACTGAAAACGTACAGTGTAAACATTTTGATAGTGTATCATTAAACCCGTGGAATAGATAATAGACTAATACACATTAGAGTGAAGGCATCTAACCCGTGAAATAAAAAATGATAGTCAACGTGTGATAGTCAAATAGACACGATAGAAAACAATTGAATTCAGCTAGTCTACTAAGTAATGTTTAATAAACGAGCAGGAGTGTTTTATCGGGTATAAAACACGAGGCGCAGCCGAGTGGTTTTAGACCCGATAAAACACGATCTGCGAGATTATTAAACGGCTTAGAAAACTTATGATGTTTGTTCTCATTGTGTACCGATTTTTTTACGAAATGAACCAAGTTTGATAGAGAAAATCCAAGTTAAAGTTTATACAAATGAAGACGAATCTTTATCCGATTTAAAATCACCTATTGTGTTTTCTTCATGAATGATTAATGAGTTTTCTAATGTGTATTAATCTCATATCAAGACCAGAATTCCATTCTTTTCTCTTGTGTATATTTGACTATTACACGTTGACTAGTAAGTTTTTTTTATATATATTTCACGGGTTAAATACTTCGCTCTAATTTGAATATTGCATTAAGTTACTATTGGATAACTATCAGTACAAGAATATAGAATATAGTTCGGTATCGAAATGTTTGGAAGCAAAGTAGCGAGAGTGAAGCAAAAAAAGCGCCCATGCCACCAACAGCGCGCGACAATGTACACTGACAACCAGCATGTTAAAATAAAACTAAGAAGACACCAGCTGAGCTCCAGCGTATCGTATAAAAGTAGGTAATTTTGGTTTCATCATGTGTTTTGGTTTCATAACCTTTCTTATTTTCTGAGCTTCATTTGAAGGTTGTCAGTCAGTCTACTGCTAGCGGTCAGTCGTGCGAGGGAACAGACATTATGAATATAATAGAGCTAAGTCACTAAAAAGATTATAGATATTGGACTAATACACATTAATTATATTAATAGACACTAATGACATTGTTTTCTCTTGTTTTCATATTGTAGTGTTACATGTTGAGTAGTAGAGTGAAGGCATTTAACCAGTGAAATAAAAAATACTAGTCAACGTGTAATAATCAAATATAGACACAAAAGAAGACAATGGAAATAGGGTCTGCTGATGTGTGTGATTTAGTCTAACATCTGTTGCACATCTATTAATTTGTTTATTTTATTTTAATGGTTAAATGGCTTCACTCTAGTCTATAATGCGTGGCTAAATAGACACCAAAGAAGAGAAGAGAATAAGGGTCTGCTAAAAGTGTGTATTAGTCTAATATATATTAATATCTAAATATAATCGCGCTTGTCCCACCTCAAAAATATTACTTCCGCTGAGATATATGACTTCACACTTTAAAAATGTCAAAAGATAAAAAAAGATACATGATGCCTAAAATGCTGAAGCTAGATGGTTCTGTCTTTCCTGTTTGTATGGGAAGTAGTTCGTTCCACGTGCTTTGGGTGTGATGTTTATCTGTTTCGCATTCTTTAGAGTGGTTTTTGCATGAGTGGGTGGACAAGATACGGCATTGTAATTGGATGCCGGAATCGCTGGAAGACAATGGAAAGTTATTTCCAGGTTTAATAGAGCATGTCATATCGTGTCCGGCGTGCTGTAACAAAGGCTTTGACAGTACGTTTCTATAGGCTGAATCCATAAGTCAGCCCCTCGAAAGAGCGCAAGACTATACGACTTATATATGGAATCAGACTATGTGCGTTTCCAACTGATATAAGAAAATCGCTCTATCTTATATGAATAGCATGTTCTATTTTACTACTTGGGTCTTATATATATATATATCGGTATAAATTTGCAAATTTAACTTTTACCGTGGTAATGGCAAGAGGAAAATTTTGATTTTAATTAATTAATTACTTTTAATTGAAATGCCCCAGTTTTGCAATTTTTCTTGATCACCATCATCGTCACCATCACCATCATCATCACCGCCATCTTCATCGTCATCATCATCACCACCACCATCACTCGCCATAATCATCATCATCATCATCACCATCACTATCATTATCACTGCCATATTCATCGTCATCATCACCATCATCATCACTCGCCATAATCACCACCACCACCATCACCACCACCATTACTCGCCATAATCATCATCATCATAATGCACCTTCATATTACTATAAATTTAGTCATCATTAATTGCAACAACATCACTGTCGATTTTCGTTTATGTTTTTTTTTATTTCAGAAAAAAAATGTCTGCAATTGAAGTTTTGGTTAAGTTTGAATGTAACAGTCGAAAACTGACTTTAAGTGAAGGCACATTGGAGGCCTTGAAAAAAGAATTCATGAAGATATTTGATGACGTCATTCCCCATGATGTCCTGCCATCTAAGCTTCTTTTCCAGAGATTTGACTCTCGCTATCAGGAGTGGGTTGACATGACTGCAGACGAGAAAATATGCGATGGAGACAAGATAAGGGTTCTGGACCTATCTTCCAGCGGGGTTTGTCAGCTTTGAATCATTGTTTTTAGACTCGATAATTGTTTACACGTGACATGCACTATTTAGCGCAATTTATTTCATATATCATATATTCCAAGAACATTTGTTTCAATTTACCTCTTCGGCTTGGGGTAATGTTTTCCCATTTCAGAACATAAAATTCTTTGTTTGAGTTGTATCCATTTTCAGGTGTCTTCTCACTTGCAACCGAGCGCAAACCTTAAACAAAGAAATGATACTCTAGGGAATGACATGTGGTCTGAAATGGGGAAAAATTACGTCAGAGCCGAAGAGGTCTATTCGTTGGGTCGGTCGGTCGGTTGACTGGTTTCTTGGTCGGTCGGTGGGTTGGTCGGTCGTAGGGCTGGTTAGTTCAGGTTGGTTGGTTGCATCGGTTGGCTTATAATTGGTTGACTGTATGCATTTGTTTTTTGGTTGGTTCGTTGATGTCTAGTGTTTTAGTTGATTAGTTTCTTGGCCATCTGCCGAAACCATTCAGCACCCTGTTGATTTTTTCAGTTCTCTAATTATAAGTTCCATTTCAACAGACATCTTCAGGTACTAGAATTCCCCCTCACAGAATCAAACGTAACACAACCTACCGTATTTGGTCACTAGTCAGCAGAACCAACGGTTCACTTATGAAGCGAGACGATACGATAATGAAAAGTGATGGAAGTGTGGCATCGGATGAAGTAATTCTCCGTAAGTATTGTATTAAAGTGCAGAATCACTGAGTAGAATTTTACGTAAGCGTCAGGGGAGGATCCAGGGGCGAGTATAAGTGGGCGGSGGGGGGATAGGGGACGGAAGGAAGGGGTGAGGAAGGGAGGGAGGAGTACTGTATTATAGTAGTGCACTGAGTAGATTTTTACAAAAGCGTTAGGAACGGATCCAGGGGTGGTGAGGAGGGGGGGGGGGGTAACGGGGTAGGGGACAGGACGGAGGGAAAGGGAGGGAGGATACTCACTAAAAAAAGAGGACAATGACAATGACAATAATTTATTTAACACTAACATGTGCAGACTAGTTTGMGTAAAGTAATAAAAAACTTAATTCAGAACAAACTAACTGAAATAACCATGGTCAGGAGTTCGGTCACAACGGAATCGAAATACTATGTTTTAACTGAAAGCGTTTGTAACTTTGTTTCATTTGCATGAATTAACAGTTAACATCAAAGCAAAAGATGTCAGTGATCCAACTTATAAACTATATCGTCTTGAGCTACAAGTTCCCGATACCTCTTCAAAATGTTACGTCATCACTGGACAAAGTGAAAACCAGGATGTTATCGTACAGGTCAGCATTTATACCGCGATTGGAGACTTGACAGATCAAAAACGGGGGATGTTGGGAGAACGCGAGAGGAGCGTAGGAAACCACGACGCGTAGTGGAGTGGTTTCCAGCTTCTCGAGTGTTCTCCTAACATCCCAAGTGTTTTGATCAGAGTATCAAACACAGAAAACTGTTTTTGAATTGTTTTATAAAATAACAAACGCGCGAAAAGATCGAAAAAAAGCAAAGTAAATTCTCCCTACCTGCCGTCTTGTTCAAACTGACCAATGAGCGCGCGCGATAGATTAAAATCTGACAGTTGCAATACTCGCGCGCGCTAAAATGACGATACCGTGTTTTAATACTCTCATCAAACATGGTTTTTGACGCAATCATAGCGTGCGTAGTATCCCAATTATTTTGTAATTAACAGATCAAACCGAACGGCATCAGTTCATGCGAAGCTGGCTGGTTTTACCAAATAAGGCAAGCTCGGCGGTTTGGTAGTTAAAAGCCCGTAAATTCTCGGTTTTAACCCACTTGACAAAGTTGACAACCGTTACTATCCACCATATTGGTGTACATACAAATGCTCGTATAGCTCGTGGCGTGAAGAAATTTTGAAATATTGCTTCTCCAGGCTAACGAATGAAAAAGAATGGAGTGCATTCAGTCAAACTATTAAATAGTTGACGTCATCATCTAAATTAAATAAGTTATTTACTACTTCGGCTGACGTCAACTAATTAGTTATCTGAGTTAGAAAAAGTTATCTAGCTCCCAGGGGGTGGGTGGGGGGGGGGG